GGGCTTGGCTTGCTTACATCATTGAAACTTGATCTCCAAAACTAGCTTTGAATTCAACTTTTTATTTCTCACTCGAATCTACTTTAATTTTATGGGGGGGTTTGCACCTATTTTAAAAAGACTGCTTTTTCAGAAAACATTCGATCAGTTCCTTACTGTAGGAAAACACTTATTTTGTTGACAGACAAAGCAATTACTGATGAAAACATAATTAATTGTGTCATTAATTTTCCCTCAACCTGATTTGGGTCTGAAAATTTCTGAAACTTTTGATTATTTGATTGCTTATTTGTGACAATTTGCTACTCATTTACAGTGCAATATGCTGGAAAGTGACCTATACAAAGTGTTATCAACTGTAACAATGAGTGCCAGGTCTGCAGTGAAGGTTGGAGCTTTGTTAATGAAGAAATTGTATCCATAGTCAACAGTTCTTCCACTCTCTTGCACTGTGTGTACATATGTGTGCATTTTTGTGTGTGTGCCTTGGTGCCAGTATCACTCAGCCTTGAGATGCCTTCAGTGGCTGCAGGCATTAGAATCAGGGTCACGTTCCAGCGGACAATTCAGACAAAATGGTCCTTAGGAGGAGAAGTCTGTGTGTGTGAGTCTCAGTCGGTTTTCTGTGCTTTATTTGAGAGCAATATACCAATAATACAAAATACTTCTTTAGAATTTTAAAATAAAAAGTCACATGTTAAATTCAGCAAGATAAAAAAGTAACAGTTATGAAATATAAGACCACTTGAATTATGAATCATCTGTATAACTATTCGACTTTAAGCTCAAGCAGGACCTCCTCTGTCTGATGTCTCCTTTTTTTTTTTTTTTGTTTAGACTGTTTGACAGTTAATTCTTTCTTGCTTATAATATAACTTTTAATGTGCATGACCTTGAAAACAATGTTGATCTGGGCCCAGGCAAGAAGATTTGGTCACAATGGCAGATACGTACGTCTGGTTTTCTTTTTGCAGAATTGCTAAGGATTATCATGACATTTTGGTTGCCTATTTCAGGAATGCTTTGTGAATCAAGGATTACAAGGCATAGAGTTGGAAAAGGAGATTTATGGTTTGAGAATATGTATGTCTCATCATTATTTTTTGCAAATAAAGTGGTTCTTGTTGGCATCTGTAGCCTATGACCTTTAGCAGGCACTGGAGAAAATTACAGCCAAGTGTGTTGTGGTCTGCTATAATAGTCAGCTCCTCTAAGTCTGTAGCACTGGTTCTTTAACCAGAAGGGTTGTTCTGGGTTGAGGGTTAGTTTCTGGATCGAATGAAGGGGTAACATTAGGGGTTCCATCTGGAATAATCTTACTGCGCTGCTCTGGTTGATTGTGAAGCAATCAAATACAGGCAATTAAAATAAAATTCATCCATACTGTTGTCAGAATCAAACTGAACTATGAGCTTGCTCATACAGGAAGGTATGAATTGCTCTAAAATGGATTGATAGATGGCTGCACTGACTTTCTACTTGAGAAAACAAAATGCACTAACACAAGCAAAGGACATGTCCTTTGAAAGCATCTGTAACTAATTTATTTTGCCTTTTTTCACTCCTCTCAAGAATCCGGAATGTTTATTCTTTAATCGAAATCAGTATTTTCATCTAAAAGGAAGACTTTGAACCACTAGACTATGGTTCATCTCATTTACCTCACTGTCCAGAAACTACAGCTTGGGAAACTCTGGAGGGTGTGATTCGTATAAATGACCCACCTTAAAAAATGTTTTAACTACTTCCTTAATAAATAATAAACTGTGAAATAAGATTTGTTAATATATATTTGGATGTTCTGTTTCTACTGTCACCAACTACCATTTTAGCCAACGCATTGATTGAGAACAATAATCTTGCTTGACCTGAACTTATTTTCAAAGAATTTTTTAAGTTTTTTTTAAAGATGAAGCTATTGCGAAGCAATTCATGCTGCTAAGAAATTCTACTTATTTGCAGCATCCCCCACCTTTACCATACAGTAAGACAACATGGTGAAGTGATGTATTCCTGGTCCTGGAGGCTATCCGTGAAGGAGCGGTTGTACTGGGATCACCTCAGTCATTACTGGGTTAGCTGAACTCTTTCTTTTATTACAACTTCAATCTGCAGTATCTCTGTGACAGCACCTGCAATTTGGAGTGTATCCAAATGTGTTGTCATACTTAACAAGTACTAACCAGTGGATGGGCTACACAGCCAACTCCACTATTTCCAGAACTTAACCAGCTCCTTTCTTTACTGTCTCTCATTTTTTGACTGAGCGATTAGTCCATGTGTGTCTGGCCAATGTCATGGTAACTAAGGTCAGCAAGACCTGTAGTTAGCAATATTGCATTCTTCTTATTGCTCAGAAGGTCGAAGCTGCTCACCCAAGCTGCTTCATTAGTTGGATGGAAAACAGGTTTTTGTTTTTACAGGAGTCATGTGACTTGCAGAAAAACCTCCTCTAAATGGAAGGTAGTACTGCATTGTATGTAAAAGAAAGATGCAGTGCCGTATTCCATTTCCAGATAGTTTTGCTCCAAGTCACTGAAATAACAATTTGCCATTAACCTATCTCAGCACACCTCCCTTTTTAGGCTGAACGTGGTAAGACAATCACTAGAGTTCCAATAGAGGGTGTATAGAATCCTTATTCAACTTCATCAGAAGCTGCAGCATCTGCATCAGTGGGAGGCTTCCTTGGGTCCACTGCAAGACGGAAAGATAAAGATCATTCCTGCTGCCATCACCCTTAGGAATAAGATTTCAGAATATTGTTGAAAAGTACAACAATAAGGAATTTTCCGTATGGGATTAATACAAATTATCTCCCATTTAATGACTGAAAGTCTTCATCAAGATGAAACAATGACTCAAATTTCCAAACTTAAAAAATCCATCATTTGATTTCCTTGGATCAGAAATATTATACAGTTGAAGTTGTGCTATCGTTTAGCATTCCGTAAACTGAATTTAATTAAATTCAGCAGCCTAACACTCCCCAGCTTTTTCCTTTTTGTTATCATAAAGAAGACTATACAACCAGTGAGCAGCTGACATGCTCCTTTTTGGTAAGCTGATTTTGTGTCAAACTTTAACCTCTAAGTGTCTTTTTAACTTTGGGTGTCCAGTAGATGACATAATCAAAATAACATGCATGCTGTTTAGATCACAGGTTAGTTGTTCAATGTTTGCATGTCTACTTCCATCTCTACGCACCTGACTTGCTTACCTGTAATCAGTCTTACTTTGCTTTTGGTTAGTTGGTCTGATATTGATGCCAGTATCTGAAATCTACGTCTACGATACAGAAAGTGCTGGCATCAGAACTGGAGTTCAGTCATTGATCGAACACCTAATTTGTTAATACGAATCTATTTTTCCATCAGCTTTTTTCTATCTGACACAGTTCTTCTTTGCTGGTTTTAAAACTCACTGTGCGGCCTTCTTCTGTTGTAGAGGGACAAAGAAGAAGAGATCACCCTGGTTTAAAGGTTTAACCTTAGCCAGGCCTTACCATCATCTCTTTAATTAGCCATTTTTTGTTTATTTGATATTGTATTCATTTACATGGGAGCAGAGTCTATGGCATGTGCCCCGAGTAAACAATGCAACAATGCATTTTTGTAAAACTGAAAGTTATTGTCTTTCTCTGCAGGTAAGTCCAGGAAAAAGTTCAACATGTGAGGACACTTCTCCTTAAACTAACAGACCTTGAATGGATGGTTTAATGATTGTTTCCATTTTCAGTTCTGTGTATATTGCATTCTTTTTGTTGAACTTTTTGTAATAAAAGATTAAATTTTTTTGTTTGTGGAGCAAATTAAGAAATATATTTTAGTTAAAATCCTAGTGAAATCCAATGTAAATTATTTTACAGTATTATTTAATTTATATTGAAATAAATTATTGGCTACTGAGTTGCATCACTTTTACAGCAACAATGTAAAAATAACTGATTTATATTCACAGCTAAATACTGTGATTTCCCAATTGTATCACAATAATTCCACTGGCATTGCCTTTGTGAAGTTAGAATATATAGCTGCAATTTTCATGTAAATTACTGTAAAATACTATTACTGTCAAATATATGTAGATAAATATTTTGAAATATTCTCTGTGGATTACTGTAGAGAAATGCAATTAGTACCCAGTAATTTACCATAAAAAAAAAAAAAAAAAAAGTTCATAGAGCAGTTTTAGGTGAACAAAAAAATATTACAAAGCAAACAAATGAAAGTCAGTTCCACTGTTTTTTATATAGCTCAAGACAATTTACGGGGATGATACAGTCACATTGGTTTTAAAGTTCTGTCAAGGCAAACCTGCATGGAGTCATTAACTTAAAACTGGATACGAGGAAATTAAGCTGAATCTTTTTTTTTTATGTCAACAGCAACTGGTTAGTCATCAGTATTTCCCATTACTATCTTGTCGGAACATAAAATGATTTTTTTTATATATATGCTTGTTTCTGGCCATGTGTATAATTTTCAATTAATCTGAAACTAAGTTTACATTTGCTAGGTTTTTAAAAAAAATTAGAAACCACCTTAAAAAGTATCACTCTGTTATGAATCCATTCTATTTTCATTAAAAACAAAAACTGTATAAAAAGTATACTTTTATGTAATATTCTACCTTGATAACACTTTATGTATTTTACACGCTGTCGCCCATATTTTTATTCTTGTCATTTTAAGTTTCTAAATAATAACTTTGTAATGTTTTCACTGTTAAACAATCTCCATATAATTATTGTTTAATTAAGGACCAATAAAACTTCTGCGACAATAGAAGGCTTTGCACAGTGCTTTCAGGTAAACCTGCACTGTTATTTAATTGATTTTACTTTCCCAGTCTTCATCCCCCCAGGGGATCAATGTTGGAGGCAGAATAGGTTTTCAGCTTGAATTTCGACACCTTGGTGGACCAATCATTTGTAGGCTTCAGCAGGATGCAGACCAATGGCAGCATTCTATGGGCGTCTCTGGCCACGCTGAGGTGCGTATTTTGGAGTTTGGTAAATGACTGCAGCAGGAAAATATAGTGTCGAAGCGCAAAGAGCTGGCACTGTTATATGAGAGAGAGAGTGCGTGTCTATACGCGCCAGGCAGTGATGTCCTCTTCTGCCATGGAAGAGGGTCCATATCAGTCTGACACACGGGGCTGCATGTTATTATGAAACTCTGATCGACAGCGGGACTGAGTTATTGCTATTGTTGGGATTTAACGCGCCCGGTGCGCCGGTGGGAGCGGATGCGGAGAGCAGCAGCGGTTGCCGACGCGTCTCCAACTTGACCACTACCAGACAATGGGAGCAGCTGAGCCGAGCTGCTGCAGCGCCAAGTACTACTACAACTGCTTGCCCCTGGGAGATAAGTACGAGAAGAAGAAGGAGAACCAGAAACGAGAGGAGGGGGTAAAGAAGGAGAGGGAGAAGAGGAGACAGACGTGTTGTACCTGCAGCAGCAGCAGCCCCGGGACTCCCTCAGCAGCCGATACGCACAGATCCAGAACGACGCTCCGGTTGCCCCAGGGATCCATGTGAGACAGAACCTGCAGATGTGAGAGAAAGCTCTCCTCTGTGTGCGGATTTTAGGAATATAACACATCCGTATTTGTTTCGGCGCTCCAGGGGCAAGAGGACGCAGGTTTTTGCAGTCAACCAGCCAATGAAGGAATATGTGTAATTTCTCTGTGAACTGCGGCGGAGCGCACAGACCGGACCTCAGAGTCATCGCCTCTAGTCGTGTCAAGCATTAGCAGCCTTTAAGCGGCTGCTGGCCTCTGAGACCAAAGACCCCCTCCGCCCCTGCCCCATCCCCTCCATTGTTTGTTCCCGGGTGTCCCCCCTCGAACCAAGACCTAGAAGAGCTCCCCCCTCACGGTCCCTTCCTCCCTCTGCCTCTGTCCGAGGTGCTGAAAACATTTTCGGCCTGGATTCAGTGGATTTTCTCTTACGTCGGCTCTTGAGAAGTAAGCGGACAGGCATGCTTTTATGGAGGGTGAAGTGATGGCCATCCCACGGCTCGGCATTGGAGAGTACAGGATCTGACACGGACCCTCACCCATAGAAAAGCAGGACATTCCGGGCTCACCTTGGAGGTCATAAAACATCATCCCCGCCCTCCCCAGTCCCTGACACCAGACCTTCTTTTCAACATTTTCTAAAGAGTGTCCATCACCTTCACAACCCCCCTTCAAAAAATGAGACTCGCAAAAATGTGCCGACTGAACCCGCTGGGGATCTATTTGTGGGAAACGGTTTTATTTATCAGGTAAGCACATCCATGAAGCCGACATGACTGGTGGGGAAAGGGAAATACATAACGAAATATGTTTAATTTGCTCGGGGATTTGATAAAAACAAATGAAATTAGCATTTTTATTGCCTTGATGCCGTTTGGGACACGTATGGAAATTAAAACAGCGTTCAGAGATCTTAACAGCATAAAGGGGAATTACGGTTAGAAGTTGTCAAAGTTGCCTCTGAGTTGTCAAAGTTTCCTCTGAGTTGAGTTATGACTGATAAGCATTCTGGACATGGGAAGGACTTGTAATGAAGTTGGACTAAGATCAGACAGGGTTTTTTTTTTCTTTCCCTTTTATTTGGAGAAAATTGCGTCCACTAGTGGCTGGATATCCTGTGAATCATTAGTTCCTTATAGGTTTTTTTAATTATGCAGGAAAAAAATGCTCCAAAACAGGCACTTTAAAGGCAAAATAAATAAATAAATAAATAAAAAATAGTTAAGTTTATAATTCAATCATCTGCTCCTCATGTAATTTCTCCATACACAACCATTCCCTTCCCACCAAGCCTATACCAGACCATGTAACAACCCCACATTTGCATTGTTTGGTGACACTATTTAGTCCAATTTCTTTCTTTTCTATCAGTGCCTCACAGTACCTAAACTATTATTAGTGAACACTCATTTCACAAATGTAATGTTGAAGGTTTATCACATTACTTTTCAAAAATGTACTCACAAAAGATTAAACTAGATTTGAGTAGATTCAGTGTTTATTGTCCACAGAAACTTTGTCTTAGATAGGTACTTGCTATTCTTAAATCACATAACATCCATACTTACATCATTACACTTCTTCAAATAATAAATTATCCAAATTTGACTGTTCCTCTTATTTGTCAGGCTAAATGTGGGTCTGGTGCCTATATCCAACAGTCTTTGGGCAAAAGTCTGTATCCTGCCTGGGCAGGTCACCAGTCTAACACAGGGTGGACACCTATGGCCATGATCACAGTCACACCTAAGGGCAATTTAGAAACAGCAATAAACAGTTTGAGGAAGCCGAAGTGCCATGAGAGAACCCACACATGCACAGGGAAAAAATGCAAACTCCATGGAGAAATACCCTAGGCTGGGAATCAAAGCCGGGACATTAATGCTGCATGGCAATTTACAGCAAAACAAAGAAAAGAAAAACAAAAAAACCATACAAACTCGAAGTGCAACTTAAGTCTTACAGAGCATAACCTTTATCTTGGTGAGCACAGTCTTGTGATTTTGATGATTTCATGCTATATTCTGGTTATTTTGTGCTGAATATGTACTTGAAGTTTCCTATTTGAATACGTTCAGTTTTGCTAAGTTGAAGAAACCTAACCTTTGGTCTTTGTTTAATTGATCTATTCACAGAAAAATCATCCATAATCATAATTGATCATCCATAATTGAACATTTCAGGCTGTAAAATCCACAATAATACCAGAAACTGGCAACCGCTAACTAGCAACCCAGCAAATTATTTGTAAAAAATCTATATATTTTTTTAAATCTGAAAAAAAATGCTTTCAGAAATTAATAGCATATTTATTATTTATAGGGATGCACGATATAATCGGCCCCCTATCCGTATCGGCCTGTATCGGCCTTAAAACTGAATATCGGACATCGGCCACCCCACCGATATTTAACCCGATATTTGATCAGCTTCTGAGTTTCTAAAGTCTTCCTCAAAAACTTCTTTTTTACAGACTTAAAAACTTCTAAAGACGAGGGAAAAAATATTGATACATTAAAATATCCCAATATCTTCATATGCTGATATATTGCCATTTAAAAACACCATATCACCTCTTTTACTAATGAAATATTGCTATATGTCATCGTTATGCTACGAAATCCCCCGAAAATTCCCGAAATTTTGCCATATTTTTATATGTTGATATATTGACGCGGTATCGATCTATTTTACAAACAAAATCTCACAAGAATTTGCCAAATATCACGAGAGTTTGTAACAGAACAATGAAATTTCACGATCTATTTCACGTAAAATAGATCGATACCGCGTTTTAAAAAATGTATTTGATATCAGCATATGAAAATATATTTGAGTATATTATTTTTCAAAGTGTCAGAAATGGATAATAAAACTGCTATTTTCAATGACTACTTATTTTTGTCCAGCTTTAACATTGGTATCGATATCGGTTATCGGTTACATGAGTTTTAAAAATATCGGCATATCAGATATCGGCCAAAATCCCAATATCATGCATCCCTAATTATTTAACAATGTATGGGTACATAAATGGTACAAGAAATCATTTAATATGACTTTGAAGATATGAAATTTTTTTCAAGGTACTTTTAAGTAATTGGCTGGATGTTAACATTTATTTATACCATGATATGTCTTGTTAATCTAGTTCCTTTTGGTTCCCCATGCCCTGAAGAACCACCACATTGATGCTGATCTTCCAAACGCCTACTTGGTATCCTATTAGCCCTCTGGAGGGTCCTGACCCCAAATTTAGGAACCACTGCTGCAGATTGACCTCAAAAGGACATGCTTAACTCAAGTCTATTATGTGTTTTTAATCTACACTATTCAACTGCTTGAAATCATGATATCTGGCTTTCCATACATCTCTAATACTTTAATTTATTACATTCACTTAGCAAACACTGAGTTCTGTCAGACTGTTGGCCTGCAGCAAGTGCCTTAAGTATCCTCTTTTAGTTATAATCAAGACCACATTGAAAGATATGCTTGGTTTTTTTGGTTTCATTAAAATTAGTTAGTAAAGTTGAGCTCAGGGCAAAGCCAACGGTATCCCAAATACATCAGTTTAATGTTTTGCATACTGTTGGAAAACCATTTTTTAAAAAATGTTAACACTAAAACTACATATTTGAGGCATGTGTGGAATGTGGAATTTGTGGAATGTGAGTAATTTAGAGTTGGATTTCCATCCTCATTATTCCATCAATCAACGTGCCTTGAACACTGATGAGATACAGCCCCAGAGCATGATGCCACTCCCACAATTCTTGGCTGTTTGTACAATATTCTTGGCTTTGACATCTTAAGCTCCATGGGTTTCCCTTGAAATTTATACTTAAGTCAAACATAGGCATCTTTATGATAAAATGTAGATTTTGGAGCCCTTTTGAGCAGAAATGATTGTGCTCTGTCTCACATCACTGCTTACTTATTGGAGAAAGAGGGAGACTTTTTTTTTACTGGGAAGGTATGGCACGGTCAAGGTTAAGGCATCCTGCAGGGGTAGTGATAAAACTACGTTTCTACTCTTTCTCTTTCATCAATATTCCCCTGGTTCTTTCTTTTTTAAGAAGTGTGCACGGAATATTTACTAAGTTCTATTAATGACTCAAAATTAGTATTAATGTTTAGCAGTGTTAATCCATTAAAGGAAGATCAATAATCAAATTTTCCTGCCGGCCAAGGTCTCCTGTGCATGGCACATTAGATGCAGCAGAGAGACAAAAATATTTCTTTACATTCTGGCCATATATAAGCTCCTGTATAACATTAAAAGAGAGCTCTAACCTCCCATGCATCAGTAAAGACCATGTGTGGAGCTGCAATTTGTCTGTCTGTGTTTGCTTTGGGCATGGTTTTGATGAAAGAAATCACATATCATGATTAAAAGCTTAGAACAGTTGGTTTTACATTATATAGGACCTTTAAGTTAAAGACACTCAGTAAATACGTTTGAATACCCCAGGTCTATGTTTAATTAAAAAAAATGTAGAACTTAGAAAACATAGAAAAGAAAAGCTAAAATCCCTCCCCCAGTACCACATAGGGGTTAGGGGTTACAACCCTCACATGGGCTCCTCAAAACATATTTGCCAGCAATGAGCCACAAGCAAGACCCGTTTGTACACACAAATTAATTTTTTAATCTTTCATAAGAGTAAAATTCTTCTCTTATTTCTAATCTTCTCTCAGGTTTTAACAAATTTTACCAGTACTCCAGACTTGTAAACTTTTCGAATAAATAAGCTGTTATAAAAACCTAGATTTTCAATAAGGTCATTCTTATCAAAAATGTTTTCACTAAATGACTGCGCTTGTTTTCCTTAGAAGCAGTGGTAAATAATTAGGCCACATTGTTATATATTATGCAACTCTGCAGATATGAATTATATTTTTATTCGCTGATCACATAAGTTTCGGTCACTAGAGCTGGCATGTTGATATCCAGGACACTGGTTTGATTTTTTTTGTCATTTCGTCAGAAGAAAAACCAGTCAGAGATCACTCTACTATTGAAATAACATCTGAAACAGAAAATAGATTGAAAGTGCAGCAAAGCTCCTCTAACGGAGCTTTATCCTCCATGGCAGCTTTGTTATTACACTAAATGCAAAATATTTGGGTTTGGGTCTGTCTGACTTCATTAAATCAGAGGTTTGCTATCAACATTTTATACATTTTTATTCATTGTTAGATAGATGGAGAGTATATGAAGGGATGGCAGACATGGTTTCGCGATGTACAGCACAGGTCTATCTGTGTAATTAGATGAGATTTAGCAGAATGTTGTGTTGGTTGATGTTGAACTCATATCAAGTATTTATGTTGATGCTTATGTTGCACCGCTTACCTCCATCAACAGTTTTCATTGACTGTTTTTGGGTCAAATTGTTTTCTTTGTATATTATTTTTATTCTTTTACTTTATTTTTACTATCGAACAGTGCACACTGGAAAAAATCTAAATCTAGATCAGTCATTTTTTTCTTAAAATAAGTGCATTTGTTCTTGGATTGAGGAGGTAAAAGAGACATTTTGCCAATGGAACAAGACAATTTACATTTAAAATAACACAATTACATTGTCTTATTTCAAGTGCATTTTATCTAAACATATTATTTTAAGAGTAAAAATACTCATTCCATTGGCGAATCATCTCATTTACCTATTCAAATTAAGGTTAATACTCTTAATTTAAGAAATTTTAACTTATTTCTAGATTGTTTTTCCAGTTCAACCAC